GAAATTTCTTACATAGATACAGAGTATCTACAAAGAACAAACAGCCAAGATAATTCTAAATGGGTATTTATCACAAAATGTGCTATAATGAAGGGAACAAGGTTGCCCACTCTCTCCTTTATTTCTATTGGCATTAGAACCACCAGCAAAAAAGATAAGACAAGAAAATAGAATCTCAAAAATCAAATTATCAAATCAAGAACATAAATTAAAATTATATGCAGAAGATGCTGTACTTCACCCAAAGGATTCTAGGGAATTGATAATGGTACATACATAGCAGTATTTATTATCAGGATACTGGATGAATAAAAAGACTCAAATGATGATCTGGAACTTAGCTGAAGAAGAAAATAATGGAAATTATTTAACAAAATTATTTAACAAAAGGTAATAAAATTTTATTTAAGAATTATCAGATTTGGAAAATATAATGGAGAGCATTTAAGTTAAAACTGTCAGATTTTCCAAATCTCGAAAGAACAAGGCGGACTAGCAATACCAAAATGTAAGTTATGTAACCAAGCTACTTGATTAACTTGGGTAACAGACTGGATTATAAAACCTTATGGTTGGATTGCTTCTATGGAAGGAGGAAGACTTCCAGATAGGTTGCACAAATCTCTGGTCTGAGGCATGTGGAAAAATGCAATCTACAGCAGATCATTCAGTAATAAGTACAGGTAGTCCTCGACTACGACCACAATAGGGACTGGAAAATTCATTGTTAAGCGGTGCAGTTGTTAAACGAGGTGTCACGTGACCACATCCAATTTTACATTTTTTGCAGCAGTCATTAAGCAAATCACCACAGTTGTTAAGCAAATCAAGCGGTGATTTAGTGAATTGTGCGGTTCCCCATTGACTTTGCTTGTCAGAAACTGGTTGGGAATGTTGCAAATGGCAATCACGTGACCCCAGGATGCTGCAACCATTGTAAATACATGCTGGTTGTCAAGCACCCAAATTTTGATCACATGACTGCAACAGTCGTAAGTGCGAGGACCAGTTGTAAGTCACTTTTTTCAGTGCAGTCATAACTTTGAATGGTCGCTAAACTAATGATTGTAAGCCAAGGACTACCTGTATTGCTCTGAAAGTATGGGATAAACATAGAAAAAGAATTAGTCCATTGCCTCTTGCTTCAATACCAAATATTTATTTTCATGAAGGAGAATATGCAAAAAAAAAAAGATCAGTAGAGGGATAATAATTGGTACAGATTGCAAGCCTTAATTATTAATAAGACAAGAGTGAAATCATTTGAGACTATCTCTTTAGAATGGTCAGAACCACCACACTGGCTTCAGTATTTACAAATAGTAACAGTTGAAAAGGACTTACAAAAATAAAGTGGGAGACTTTTTTTCATGATTGAAGAATAATCATATTTACTATTTCAAGACTTTAACAAGTAAATTAAAACACTTTGGCTACCCATTCCTTTTTGCAGGTCATGACATGCCACAAAGCCTAAATTGAGATTTGCAAAGAATGCTGCCTAAGTTTAAACAGCATGCTAATCCACAAAGAATCAAACTACATTTTGATTTAACAACATGTTGTATGAACTTTTGTTGTTTTTAACTGGTTATTTTTTACTGTTTTTTATTCTGTTTTAATTGTGAGCCACCCAGAGTCATCTGTATGAGATGGGTGGCCTAAAAATTTACTAAATAAATAATTAAACTCATTCTATACCTGACAGCAACCGATGGGCCTCAAACGATCGTTTTTCCTGTCATCTTTATTTTTATTATGTTCTTGTAAATCTTAATATATTATATAGTTTCAATACAGTGACATTTATACAGTATTGACTGAAGATTATTAACTAATGTTTAGATAACTTAGACTGTTGGGGATAAAAAAAGTAGTACTATATCAATTTTTATTTACAATTTAGGATGTCAGTGTTAATCAGCATAAGATTATTTGACTTTTTCATCCAGAACTGAATATAAGTGAATCTAGGTGGGACACTTAAAGAGTTGACTGAATTTAACAAAACTTAATATACAAAATTCAGATAATATAATGGGGCTTATCTAGAAATTGCTGATGAAGTATGATTCAGAAAGTGAACAAGTCGAAGACCGTATGGTTAAATGAATGCAGAATCTAAACAGAACAATAAATATGCAACAATGGGAATAACAAAGGAAAAAAAAGTATCAAAGTTACCATCAATATTACACCTAGAGAAAAGTGGCATAAGATGTTCTATTGATGGTGTATTACCCAGTGTTGACTGCCAAATAGATAACGCATTCTCTAAAAATGGTTGAAAATGCAATAATCAGGATCATTTTTTCATATTTGGTGGCAATGCTGTAAAGCCCAACAATTTTGGAAAATGATTTATAATAGAATGAAACAAATTTTAAAGGTAGATTTTTCTTTTCAACCTATTTTTAAAATTAAAATCCATTTTTGGATTAAAGTACAGTAAAAGTACAGCATGGAGGGAGAATGGAATGTTCTTTTTCCACATCAATGAGTTTGTATATTCTATTAAGGAATCTTAAATCACAATAATGATATACAAGGAATCTGGAACCCAGATCAAGATCTGAAGCTATATCAGTCACTGAAATCAAATTAAGTTCAGACTACAGATAAATATAATCCAAACAGAAAAACTGTTGTCTCAGAGCTCAGGATTGTTAATTCATTTCTAATCTACATAAACAGATATCAAGTCCTAATTCTGACCTAATTCCTTCCAAGGCCAGAAGGCATACCTTTTCTAACATTCACAAGGATCTTCCTAAACCTTCTAAGATGCTTTCTTTAATTTTCTGCCAACATTTTCCAATATTTCATTTTCTATCAGAGAGAGAAATGCTTTCCTTGAACTGGCAGCTGTTCAGAGCTCCGGCTGGGGAAACAAGTTTCTGTTTACTACTTGTAAAAAAGTACTACTACCCCTTTTTTCCACAGCAGGCTATGTATTTTATCTGACCCTCACTTTCATTTAAGGAATCAGAAGAATCTACAACAGCTAACACAAAACCAAGTGGGATAGCTAATATTATAGAAGAAAGAAGCATAATTCAAAATTATCTTGACAGGCTACAGAAGTGGGCTTTAACCAGAATGAAATTTAAGAGATTAATGCAAAGTTCTTCACTCAAGAAAAAAAATCAAATGCACACATACATGATCCCTGGCTTCATAGCAGAACATGTGAAAATGATTTGGGAATGTTAATTGTACATTATATATGAATCAACTGATACAGCCCCACAGGGAAATGCAATTTAGACTATATCAACAGATGCAGTTGCCAAAGCAACTATATTCTGTCTTCTTCAAACTCTATCTCAAGTACTGTGTCCAGTTGCAGGTACTATATTTTGAGAAGATTCAGAGAAACTGAAACAAATAGAAAGAAAGGCAACAAGAATGATCAAAGGACTGGAAATTTAGACTTACAGTGTAAGGGAAATCTGTATGTTTATTCCTGACAAAAAACAATTGAAAGGGGATCTGACAGAAATTATCAAGAATCAGAATGAAGGTTGGTCAAAAATCGGTTAGAACCTAATTGTTCACAGTGTGAAACATGGAATAAGAATCTTTAAACAATAGCAAGGTGTATTTAGATTAAATGTTAGGAAAAACTTAATGTAAGAGCAGTTTGACAGTAAAAATTATTATCCAAAAAAGTGGTGGGCTTCTATTCACAGGATGGGGCCATCTCTCAGGGATATTTTAATTCAGATTCCTAAACTGAGCAAGGATTTGATGTTAACAGGGGCTGAACAGCCCCTCCCAACTCTTTGATTCTAAATTTTTTTTACCCCCTTTTACAGTTCCTTGTATAGATTTCCAGAAATGGATGGCTGAAACAAATATATTATTTATTTATACATACATATATCATATAGCACCATCCCTATATTATGAACCTTTAAAAAAGCCAATCTCAGCTCTAGCAATCTTACAGTGGGATAGCAACATACACGAAAGCCATCAAAAGACAGAGCAGCAGGGAATGAATAGAATTTGGGTTAAATTGAGTGAGCTTTTCAACTTCGGGGAAGCGTTATTATCATCATCGTATTAGTGTGTTTTGATTTCTGAGTCATTTATAGTAGCTGACTGATATCAAATGATGAGCATCTTTGACTCCCCCCACCCTCTCCCCCCCGAAAAAGAAAAGTGCTTTGTTTGTATTATTACTGAAACTAACTAAATCAGGGCAGTAGGCAGTTCTAAGGGTCTTGGAAGAAACAGAACTTGCCTAAGGATCTTGGAGGAGTAGAATTAATTTTTAAGAGCAGTTTTCAACTCCAACGACATGCGTGGGGATGGGGGAACGGCAGGGAAATGCTGAAAAAGGAAAATCGATCCAGTCTTCTCTCTGAGGGAAACCTCAGTCTGAAGTGAGACGGAAGAGGGGGACAGGGAAAGACTGCATGGGTCTTTTTCAAAAGGGGGTTATTGTTTCAAAATGAAGATGAGCGGGCTTTAGGGGTCAGGTTGCCGCCTCGTCTTCCCAACCCCCCAAGGAAAAAAATCTCTGTCCCCAGATAGATACATATCTACACACACGTAAAAAAATTACACGTCCCACCTCGCTACGGAGGCAGAGATTTTATAAAGCCGACCCCGCAGAGAAAGAGGCGCCGTGTGACGGCGATGAGGAAAACTGGAGAGGGGAGGGTAAGACAGGAGCAGCGGCATCTTTAAATGCTCAACCGGCGTCGAGACCACAATTCCCATCACGCCCCGGCAGAACCCGAGGATGCCTTTCTTACAGACGAGCCGCGCAAAGCGCTGCTGGGAAGACGAGTTTCCCGCCACAACGCCGCTCCTCCAGTTAAGAAACCCGGTAGGGCCTTGAGGAGAAAAGTCCGAAGAGGGAGGCGGCTCGCCTCAGCATTTCCCGCCGGGCGCGCGCTCGCTTAACGCCCCACCGGTCGCCGGCCCTCATCCCCACGCCCCCGGCCTCCGCGCCAGTCGATCCTTGCCGTTCGCGGCCTGAGCCTTACCTCAGGCGGGCGCAGGAACCTTCTGGTACTGCTTCTGCTGCCACCGCCGGCGCTCGGCGAACCGGAAGCGCGGAGGGGGGCCGACGGCGGTAGCGGCGGCAAAAGCTACCGGGGTCGGGTAGGATGGAAGCTGCTGAAACGCGAGGAGGAGGAGCTGGAGCTGGCCTCGGCGGGGCCAAGGGTTGCGGGTGCAAGGGGATCCGCCCCCGCCTGCGCTGCGAGGCCGCCCCGCCCCCGCAGGTAACCCACGCGGCCTCTTCGGAGGAGAG